ATTGCCTTAATTGTCACCCTAGTAGGTAACCCCCTCCAGGATTTCACCAAGGAAGATCGGAGGAGGGCCAACGAAAGGGCTCGGGATTATCGATGGATAGAGGGTAGATTAGAAAAACGGAAAACGGATGGTAGTGGGATTTGGATGATGGTGCCGCATCCGTTCATGCGGTATGACTGGGTTAAGACAGCCCACGAGGAAACTGCGGCTCATTTTGCTGTACGAATCACGGAGTCCGCTATCGACAAAAATGAGTGGTACGGTCCAATATCCGCGACGATGTGAAGTACATCGTCGCCACCTGTCAAGTCTGCACCGCTGATAAAGCGCCGATTCAGCCGCCAAGGTCGATAGTGCCCACGGTTGTTGAACGGCCATTTCAGAGAGTAAGCATGGACACTACCGACATAGTGGTGCCCCCTGGCCCTAATAGTTGCGAATATTCAGTCCTATTGGTATGTGTCAACCATTTCTCGAAATGGATCGAAGTGTATCCTTGTCGCACGCGGCAAGCCACGGAAATCGCACGATATGTCAACCGTTTCCTCGGGATGCATCAGGATACGGAAGAAATCCTGACCAACAACGGGGTTGAATTCAGGGGAGACGTATTAAGGAATCTGGTCCTACATGGAGTCGCCATACGGAACACTGCCCCCCACATGTCACAGTCCAATGGGCTGGTCGAAAACGCTAACCGGGTAATAAAGACAGCGTTGCGACGAAACATCGCGGCACAGTATCCGAGACCCTGGCCCGATATCGTCGATCACATCCTGGCGGTCCATCGCGGAACGCCCCACGAATCGACGGGGCTGAGCCCCTTCCAATTAAGGACCAATAGTGTCGCTTGCGTCTCGATACCAAGCCTCCCGGATGAGTCTACATTGAACCGACGGCCCACCAGAGCTACGGCTCGGGACAAGGCCAAACGGCACCTAGAGTTAATGGAACGGTCGATGCCCAGGCTAGCCTGAAAGCGACAGAAAATGACCGAACTAGCCCAGGGCCGACAGGTCCGGAGCTACGAGGCCCGAAATGGGAATGCGGGTCCGCAGCCCCAGTACAAATTGGGGACGTGGTGCAGGTGAGGAAATGTGCTTGCCAGGGTAAGCTAGCGCCACGATTCTTCGGGCGATATCACGTGATCGAGCTCGGCCCCAACGGCGTGGACACCGTGCGTCTCGCCCCTAAAGTCTCTGGCAATCGATCGGCTCGTCCGATCACACGCCACGTGTCCTATCTTCGCCTCCTTCCCTCTGCTCTGTCTCCCTCTCCCTCGATCTCTCTTTCTGAAGAAGCCGACGACGACGTCTCGGACTCTCCACCATCTCTCTCCCTTTCTTGCTCCCTCTCTGCCACCCCGTCACCCCCGCCATCGCCATGAGTTTCGCCATCAAGCGAGCTTTCAGTAATCAGTTGCTGATGCCACGAGGAGAGATCTCAGCCATCCGCCAAGTGCATTATCCGCTGATCAGCCCCGACGTCATGCGCCTTGCGCAGTTCTTCTGCACTGCGGGTGTATACGGCGCGATAGAATTCCGATTCATGAGCAATCCCCAGGTAGTGGTGCTGGCCGAGGCAACGGCGTTCCAACGGTGAACGGCCTCGGGAATCAGCCACGTGTGTACCGTGGTAGTCTTCAGCGGCGACATCACCGCCTTCGATCCGGCGCGGCAAGCCGCCATCAAAAGCACCTTGTACCGGTGGGGTCGCGATCTGGCCACTGMTTGGGATCGACGGCTCACAAGGCACGGTGACGAGTGCTATCCTGTCGACGGCATCGAAGTCAACACGCTGCGCACGACGCTACGCGAGCCACCTGTCGTCCTCCCAGAACTTGCTCCCTTCCAGCCGCGCAGATGAGCCGCGAGCCGATCTCGACGTTCTCTCCTCCCTCTCTCTTCCCCATCTTCTGGCAGTCCTCTCACTACCCTCGTCTCTCCTTCCGTCTGGAGCCACTGACAGTACCCCTTGTTGATCCGGACCACTGGAGGTTGTGGCGTGCAGAATTTGTCGAGCTCTCGTTTTGCCTGCTACGAGTGGATCTGAAATGGAAGTGGGAAGGCGATCAGAGGCCCGCATCAGAGATTGTGGAGTTGCTCGTCATTCAGGCGTGGAGGACCAACGTGGCGGGAGATCTTTTGGGATTCGTCTTTGGAGCAGTGGATCGAGAAAACCGATCACAGATCGTGCGTGAACTTACGATCCTGATCGCGCGATTGGCCGACGAACTCCCTTTCGACATCGTCTTCCAGAGCGACGAAGAACCCGTGCCACATACCCTCTCAAGGACTCTCGCCCCGAGCCTCCAGTGGTCGGCTTGTATCGAGGAGCGTTGGGCGAACGACCGTTTTCCCTCCCGTAGCGAGTACCTGGACGTCCACAGCCTAACTAATCCCCGCTTCTTTCGGCAACCAACGACATTCGAGTGGGCGGCGCTAAGAGCAAAAGAGGAGGCGGAAGAGGAATCGGAAGGAGAATTGAGGAGAGAGGCCGGGGAAGCAGCGGCCCGATTGGCCGAGGACGAGGAAGAAGAGCGCGAACCAGAAGAAGAGTCGGCGAAAGCTGAAGCTGAAGAAGAAGAAGAAGAAGAAGAAGAAGAAAAAGAAGAAGAAGAAGAAGAGGAGGAGACTTCTTAGGACGAGGAAGAGGCCTGTAGCGAGTACAGCGAGGGCGAGCAAAGTGAGGAGGAGGACGAAGACGACGAAGAAGTGGAAAGCGGGGACGACCAGGAGCCAACGCACGACGAGCTCGAGTGGGTGCCAGGACCGGAAAGGCGAGAGGAGAACCCGGAGGCTGCTGCGCAGCGCAAAAAAGAGATCGCAGAAGGAAAGCGGTTGGCGATCGATCCCGCACCGAACGATCCTTTCAAGGATCCCGAGCCGCCCAAGCCGGAACATGGAGACCTTACTGCCATGACCTCGGGAGCCGCGACGACAAGGCACCGTTCCCGATCTCGATCCACGTCCCCCTCCGCCTCCGCCCGTCCCCCAATTCGTTAACGTGTCAATGAGGGGCTTATCCCTTTGTCCCCGATCCATATACCACCATCCCCTTAGCTATCTCTCTTTCAGTCAGTATTTCCATCGCGTCGTCTACCCCCGTAATCCCTTCCCCACCGCCACCTTCCGACATTTCTACTCCGCCCGCCTAGAACTGACTGTCCACCCCCACCCTTCCGTTTGGTGTGCTGTCCCCGACCACTCCCTCCACGTTCTGCTCCTTAGCGCCGCGTGGCGAGGCCGTAACCATATAGAGGTTTACTGCATCGTTACAGGGACCTTCCCCGCGTGCGAGAACCACGATCGGTTCCGCACAAACGTCCTTCGAACCCTCGTATCCCTTTACCCAGACTACCTCGCTTCCCTTCCCCGCAGCGGCCAGAGATTCCCTCGCTTCCATCGCATTGTCCGTTTTCAAGAACTTCCCTACGACCTCGCTGCGATCGGGCGCTTCATACCCGAGCTTGCGATGGAGCCGCCCCGCCCTCCCTCATACGCGTATCGCTTTCCCTTCCCCCTTCCGGTTAATTACTGACGCAGCGGTAATGGACGCGTGTCGCGGCGATGGCACGAGGAAGATCCCGTCCTTGGATCGTCGAAGAGCCCAATCTGAGGAACTAGTAGAAGAGCAGAGTTGCCACGTTGGATGACGTCCACACGCAATCGAACGGTAAGTGGCATACAGAGAATTGCTCCGCGTGTCGATCGTTAGAGAAATCGACACGTGTCAACAAGCAAGCAGGAGCTTGCTAATATTGGAACCCCTTGGGCGTCACATATGTGACGAACCACTTTCTGTAACGTGCGATTTTCTGCGCGGTTGCAATGAGGGGTCCTAAGCTGGGAAGATTGGGCCAATTACGGGAGATCGGGATCGGTGGAGAGTTGCATCAGTGTCCTCGCTTTTTCGTCCTTTTTCATCGTTTCTTTTTCGAATGGCCAAGCACGGGGTCGGGTGTGTCTTAGGACGGTCGGTGGAGTGATTGGTCGAATGGATGTCTGGCGTGCCACCACGTGCGCGATTAATAAAGGTTACGTCGTTCCTTTCGGTTCGATTTCGATCTTTTGGGCGTGGACATCGCGCTGGAAATTGCTTCGTTGTTTTTGAAATTCCATTTAAAATCTTTTTCGAATTTTGTCGAGCCCCCGATGGCTCTCGGAATTTCGAACTTTCCTTCTGGAATTCGTGCTTCTTTTTGCTTTTTCGCATTAGATAGGAATTTAGGAATTTAGTAATTAGGATTTTTTCTGCCGCGCGGCGCCTTTTGTCTACGCGCTTCTTCATGCAGCCGCAACGGTCCTCTGATTAATGAGCGCCCTTAATCGTGTGTGTAACTGTAATTCTGGGCGGGCGCCATTGTAACTGTATCTTTCTTCTTGCACTTCAACTCTCCCGCCCTCCCTCTCTTTCTTTTGCTGAAATTTTGTAAGTCGCGGCTTGCATGCTCGGATCGATGCGTGGAGAAGGGTTACGTCCCCCACACCGCGGACGATCATGCAGAACGCAGGCGTTCCCTCTCTAATCCTCACTCTAAGTCCTGGTAATTCCGTGCTCTTCGCGCATGCATGCACACTATAAATTTCGGCTGCGCGATTAGTCAGCTCTCTTAACCCGTTGTTGGAAGCTCGGGGTTGCGGGATCAGGAAGGGTCGGCACACGAGCGAAGTAAGAGGTGAGTAGAGTAGGAGTTGGGCGACCCGACGGGCTGGTGCYGAACGCACGGGATTGACGTGGGCCACGACGGACTGTGGGCACGGGCGAATCCGACGGGTGCGAGAGGACTAAGCGGGGTGACAACTTCGTGGGTTGGTGCGCGACGACGGACTGTCCGCATCGGAGAGAGAAGAGGAGGAGAGAGTTGAGGTCGATGGACGTGGATTTGTTGTTTCTTTGTCTCTTCCCCCTCTTCATCTGTGTACATACATTTTGATTGCGGCTCCGGGCGGTTTGCCCGTTCTTATTTTCGTTTCGACTTTCTGAATTCTGGGCTTGGGTTTTTGCTCACACTTGTCCTTGCGCTGTTCGTCCTGATTGCATTATATGTATGATTGTCGAATGTATGGGTGTATGGATGTTATGACTGCTTGTCTATCTTTTTGCTGAGAATCCCTGTCCTTGCATTATGTATGTGTCGAATTTTTGCCTGCACCCGATGTCGCTGTAGATGGGATAAGAATTTGGCCCCGATAGTGATTTTGTTCTCGTTTTTACTTATCTCGCGATGGGGGTTGCGATATGATTGCATCTTGCATAATCGACGATCCGAAGTCTGGTCCCGCGAACGCCGCGCGAGAACACGTGTAAACGGGACCCAAGTCGCGCCCTTACACGCATTCCCGCGCGTCGATTCGCTCACCCAAAAAGGATTCGCGGCGGAACCGTCATCCCGTACGAGCACGCTGAGGCGCCACTGATCTACCTGCCCTGCACGTGCTCGGGCGCGGTGACGATATCCCAACCCGAGCTATCCCATCGACGATGATACCATCACGCGATCTTGGAGCTCAGACTCGTCTTATGACCCGGACTATTTCACCCCTATGATAAACGAGCTCATAAGGACGCGATACCCCTGTCACGCGGAGAATCGGCTATGTCCGTGGGAATTCCACTGCGCCACCTCTAGCGACCCTCGGTGCTTTCCCTTCTCCTGACCACACCTACTACTTCACCCACCCGGGATTTGTTGAGATCACCACCAGTTTCCCTCCTTTCCGCCTCCTTCTTCCGTATCATCAACTAAGTGTCGTTCTATGGCCGGCCATAGCCCCCTATTGGCCCAATACGTTTTGCGTGAACTGCCGACGTAGCGGCGTACAGAGAACTCCGGAATTCCGAAGGCCCAACCCAGGTACGCGGCGGCCGGTGCCACGTGGCGGCCCCCGACGGCCTAACTTGTCTGGACCATCTCCACCACGGAGGGATTTTCCCGTAACCCGTCCCCCACAGTGTCCCGGCCCCTTCGGACTGTGAGACCCTTGCGCGCGCACCCCTCGCCTAATTGCATTCATACCCTTAAGACTCCCCCACTTCCCCAAAAATCCTTGGCACACCCCTTTTCGCACTTCCAGGCCCACATCCCACTCCGATCAGGAAGTCGCACTGGGCGTGAGGTTGGGCGTCACAGGGCACTTACCTTTCTTGAACTCCTTGGCTGCTTCACGCAATTCCTCTATTGTGAATGGTCTATCTAAATCTAACCTTCCTTGTCTAGAGATGACCACATTTGTTCTGTCCCAAAAGCTAGAGCTGCCTGTCAGATCTGTGTCAAAACACCTGTTGGGGAATCTGGAGGTAAATGTATCGACAAAGTGTGGTTTTTGAACACTTGGGCGTTGGCAAATCGTTTGACATCAATTTCAGCGGATTCAGAATTAGTGATTGGGTCGTGGTTGAGATCCTGAGTCGAACTTAGGCAGAAGTGACGGGAAGGCAAGGAGGTATTGTACAGGGGCCGGCTGTTAGAGCTGGAATAAGGCTAGGGGAGATACTGTAGTGACAGGTCGAGCTTAGGCCTGGGAATGAGTTGTCGGCTAGTAACATGTTTACTCGAACAAGGTATCTAGATTAGATACCAGATTCTGGGGATAGGCGAAAGGAGTGTCTAAACCTATCCTCAGAAATCGACAGTGTTTAAGTTGAGGCTTTTAGTAGCCCGTATGGGCTGTTGCAGGCGGAGGTGTGGGTAAAAGACATATCTGTAGCCCTGCCGCTCTCTGCTGAGTTCAAGGATAAAATCTGCCTCTCAGAGGCCTCCTTTTTGGTATTTTTAGGGAACAGTTTAGTAGAGGGACAGTGGATATGGTCGGAGCCTACAGCTGGGTAAGGGCCCGAGCATGTTTTTGTACCGGGTTGCTTTGTGGGGTGTATTCCCGGGCCCCTGTTCTTCTTCTGTAATAAAACGATTTGAGTTTCTCTATAAAAAAAATAAAATAAAAAAAATTTCAGGCTATTTATCCAATCGTCTTTGCTTGTACCAACTGAGCCCTTTGGTTACACCCCCTTTTTTTTTCCCTACCTCCACTTGTGCTAACCGTTTTCTCAGAGTAGGCAGAAAAAAGGAAAAAACAAGAAAAGCCGTTTTGTCCTGCTTCCCATTTCACGTGATCCCGCCCCTCCACCACTCTCGCCATGCACAAAAGACAAAAAACATGGCGGTGCATCTTCCCATGTTCTAGCCAAAGATTCACTTCACTCTCATTGTGCACATTTCAAACAAACAAAGTCCTCTGGGCCAGTTTTCCATCAAGGAGGGGAGCTACAGCACTCCCCATGTCCTGCTGTGGAAAGAAGCCAGGGCGGAAAGCACAGCCTGCCTTCTGCAGTAAGCTTAACTAATCTGGCTTCTTTACCCCAATAATCCCAGAACCATACTCTCGCCTTGGAAATGCTCCCTCTGTTGGCCCTTCGAGTCCAATCACTTATAATTGTGATCCTGATCTTATGTGATATCCGGTTCTTGATGCCGTTGTCCGATATAAATCTGCCCTTGAAAAGTTGATCATTTCTGTCATCCCAGATTATCTTCATAATAATAGCCCGAATTGCCTGAGCTACATACAACCACTGCTTTTCTTCTGGATTTACGGCATCGTGAGTGCCATTCAGAATCCACTCATCAGACCAGGTGAATTTCCCATTTGTGATCCTCTCCCAATGCTGTGTCCACCAGTTCCAAATCCTTCTTGAAGCTGGGCAGGTCAACCATAAATGGTGTGAGTCCTCCCACATCCATTTACAGCGTACGCAACTGGCCGGGATATCCATCCCCTTGGACACCAGGTCTACTGCAGAGGGTGTCGCCATCATAGACTGCATCCACAAAATACTTGCTAGACGCTGTGACGGCAGCTGCTTGAATTGCCTCCAAATAGAGTACAGTTGTTCCTCCGACAGTTGCAGACACCCTTGGTTCAATCTCTGCTTCGTTACCACTTCCAGTGGAGATTTCTTCACTTTTTTCCTTAAACATCTCGTACCTTCTTTTGTTGAGAACTGATCTAGTCCCAACATTTTTTGTTTTTGGGTATCCCACCATCCAAGCTTTCGACAGTCTGCAGCAGAGTTCACTAGAGATGTAAGACCGACCGGAAGGGAGACTACCGTAATCAGAGGTCCTCCCCCTTGCGGTCTCTGAGTTCTTGTTCTTGTTATCACTTCTGAGTACCCTTCCGGAGAGGGCAATCTTACCTTTCCCCCTTTCACCAGGGTCTTACTGTATGCAAAGTCTACCGGCTGCTTCCATTCCGTTGCTGCCCATCCATCCTCCCCCAGCTCAGCCGTGATTTGAAAGACCGAGTTTTGCTGGGATTGTGAGGTTACCCACAGCCCTGCCCTGGGAATTACAGTTCCTGTCAACAATAACGTCCAACTGTGAGGGATGGCCTTCTGGATTGCCTCCAATCTGGTGGCCACGTTCCTGAGTCTCCCCAATTTCTCCTTGATTAGAGCCGTCTCTTTCCATTTCCTATTTTTCTCATCCCATATGTCTCTAACCCGTACTATCCCTTTCTTCACCCACGCTTTTCCGAACTTTCCGGCCGAGCCATGCGCAGAGAAAGGATTTCCTGCAGCATTCACTATCAAAGGATTTTCGAATAGGATCTGGTTCAAAACTGACTCCTTGGTGTCCGGACTCTCTCTTTCTTCTGGGAACAGCTTCTGCCAAGCCACCAAAATGTTACTCCAAAATACCGAATTAACTTTTCGATTGACATAGGAACGAATTAGGAGACAAGCTAATGAATCTTCCGGTCTACTCAGGTTCCATTCCACACTTAGTGTATAAATAGCCAAGGATAGCCAGGGAGACTGGGGGTCCTCTAATAGGGCTTTCACTGGCCACTTGGCCAGTAAAGATAGGTTCTGTTGCCTTGGTTCAAGCAGACCCAACCCTCCTTCAGCCCTAGGAAAACACACCGACTCCCACGCCACTTTGGAGAAGAAACTCTGATTCTCCTCTGCTTCAGGCTTCCATAGCAGTCTAGCCGCCACTTTCTTGATATCTTTGTAAGCTTTATCTCCTAGAAGATGTGTGGCTAGTACAAACCACAGTACTGCCAACCCTGCAGCCTGGATAACCAGTGCCCTCTTTGGACCACATACACTACATTCAGAATGTTTCGAGGCCCACTCTCTGGACCACATACACTACATTCAGAATGTTTCGAAACGTCTATGGTGTCCATGTACATGACAAACGGGTCGCCAGATCACGGCAGTACTACCAGCACAGTGTTACACCCACAGGATATGAGGTCCTGCCAGCGAAGAGGATTGGAGAACCAGCGAAGAGGGTTGGAGAAAGGCTGCCAGCGAAGAGGTTTGGAGAAAGCGGCCGAACCTTGATGTCTTTGCCGCCGAAATGCAGAAAAGCAAATCGATCACAGTTTTATGCACGTGTTCAGAATCGGCGCAGATCACTCCGGGGTGTACCAACTGGTCTATATGTCAACAGTTCAGGGGTGTGCCAACTGAGCTGGGATGGAACTGGAGTCTGTATTTCAACATTTCAGGGGCGAGGTGCCACTACCAATACCAAAGCGGATAGGGTTGAACGCCTGAATCTGGACTTGTTTGTGGAATGGTGCAGAATGTAGCGATTGAACTGCTTTTCTGCACAAAAAAATAAAGGCAACCACATCCGCCGAGACCACGGAGCCTTCAAATATCTCGACACGCGCGGAGGATTCCCGGCCTGGAATGAGCAGTCTTTTTTGTAAAAAAATAAAAAATAAAAAATATCGACACTCCAGATGCTCTCGGCCAATGGGAAGTGAGGAAGCGACTGGAGGCCCGTAGGCCAACGCGAGTTGCAGCAGCCACGTAGAGCACAGTTGGGCGGCTCAACTGCTGCGGGCCCAGCCCACTGTCTGAATGGGCGTGGGCGCAGATGCTTCAGGGCCTCGTCGCACTACTCGCCATCCGCCAACATTTTGATGGCATGTGGACATTATGCATTCGAAATCTTGGCGGATGGCGAGTAGTGTAACGAGGGCCTTAGCCCAACGTGAAGCTACTGGGCACACGCACGCAAGGCCCAGGCAGCCAGACACTGTGCTGCACTTTTCATTATCTATATATATCGTCACAAACAGAACTATATATATATATATATATATATAGGAAGCGTGAGGCCAGAGTCAAAGCACTTTCTGTTGCACTGTAGCGCTGGGGATGTTTGTCTGGGGTCTGCCTGGTTACGGTAGTGCGCATGCGGGCCCTGAGAGGTGAGAAGGGCACAGCGGTGGGAGTGGGCGCAAGCAGCCATAGCCGGACCTGCGTGCGCAGCTGCTGGTGATGGTGGTCTTCGGGTGACAGAGGGCGCACACTGCGGGGAGGAAGGCGGTGAGGTCTGGGAGGAGGAGGAGGGACACGTGCCTGGTGTATGCTGGCTTGCGCAGATGCTGGTGTTTGCGGGGTGACAGAGGTGCGCACACTCTGGAGAGGAAGTGGGCGAGGTCTGAGAGTCAGTGAGAGAGGATCAGAGACACGTCGTAGCTGGTGTATATGCTTGCAGTCTGCATTGGTGACGTTGTCCCGTCAAGTTCATTGGTCTTCAGCTTGAAGTGATCCTGTTGCCGTCCTAGCTGGTGGCTAGTGTAGTTGCTGAAAAGGATAGTTTTTTTTTGTCTATCGCTCTCGCTCGTTCTTCTTCCAAAATTACACCCAAGGAAAAGGCTGGCCGGTTCGTGGAGAAGTGGAACTGGGCTGTGATTTAGGTAGTTCATCTCTGGACCTCTAGACGATCAAGATGACAGGCAAGTCGAGCGCCTCGTCGGGCAGGGCCAGGGGCGGCAGCAGCAGCAGCAGCAGCAGCAGCAGCCGTAACAGCAGCAGCAGGAGCAGCAACAGCAGCAACAAGCAGAGCTCCTCCTCGCACAATCAGAACGTCGGGAGCGGTGGCACGGGACAGCCGTACAAGTCAGACTACGCAATGGTCAAAGAGGGAGGGTGGAGTAACATGCATGGCTTCATGCACTCGTACGGCATCAAGCCCACAGGGGACGGGGCATATGGGGAGGCGAAAGCCATCCTGGAGGGCTTCAGAGAGCACAGCCAGCAGAAGTAAGAGTAAGAACGAGGGGGGGGTGAAGTCCCACTAGCAGGGTTGGTTTCCTTAATGCCTGAATCTGGACGTGTTTGAGGATGATGATGATGATGATGATGATGGCGATGGAAATGGAAAATGGGTGGCGATGGTGGTGGTGATGATGATGATGATGACGATGGAAGGGGAAACTGTGTGGTGGTGATGACGATTATGCTGAGCTGTGTTGATGATGGCGATGATGGGAGTTATGTGATGACTTGACACTCGCTCATGATGATGATGAAGATGATGGTGATGATGACAATGAAGATGATGACGATGAAGATGATGACGGCAGTTACGTGATGACGTGGCAGTCTCTCACGGTGGTAGCGTCGATGACAGTGAGGAGGAGGAGGAGGAGGGTGACGTAGCACTCGCTGATCAGGGGAGCTTTGATGATGATGATGACGATGATGGAAGGGAAAGGAAAACTGGGCGGTGATGATAACAACGACGTATTTTAGTGATGCTGCTGCTGCTGCTGCTGATGATGATGGTAACGATGGCGTTGATGGCAGTTCTGTGATGACGTGGCACTCACTCATGGTGCTAGCGTCGACGATCATGGGGATAATGGCGAATATGTGATGACGTTGCTCTCGCTGATGTGGAACGCTTCTAGATGATGATGGATGCGGAAACCTGGGAGTTGGTGGTGATAACCACTAACCACCATGATGAACTTGAGCGATGATCATGTTGATGATGGTGGTAGTGCTGATGGTGATGCTAATGACATTGGTGATGGCTGTTGTGTGATCACCTGGCACTCTCTCATGGTGGTATGATGATATGATGATAATGGTGGCAATGATGATATGATGATAATGGTGGCAATGATGATATGATGATAATGGTGGCAATGATGGCAGTTTAATGATACCATGGCATGACACTCGCTCATGGTGGTAGCGTCGATGGAATTGATCATTATGATGGCGACGATGACGAGGAGGATGAGTGATGTCTGCCTATGAATTTAGGAGGCAGCCTACGAGCTGCGAGCTCTGTAGAGAAAGACCTGTACAGGCCTTATCCTGTAAGCTAATCTGGATGATGTTCCTAGTAACATCCATCCGGGAGTAATGTTGAGGTCCCCGGCCTCTAATTCGTAATGAAATTTGGCTTTTTTTTCTTTTCTTGTTTTTTAAACAAAGCTGCCTTTTCCTCATCGGGGGACAGCTATATGTTTTTCTCTCATCTCACATATCTTTTAACTGGCGTTCTGCCATCTCATGGAATGTCGTTCTTTTCACTACCTACCGCTACTCCTAAGCTAGAGAGAGAGAGAGAGAGAGAG